GTCGCCTGGAGTCTCAGCCCCTCCCGGAATGTTCGTGGGGAGGAGATGAAAAGATCCCTTCGCAGATTATTGGTGAGCATGGGCTTGCTGGCAAAGGCTCCGTCTTCGTAGGAAGCAGGTGTAAAGTCTCCAGTTGGATGCAGAGCTCTGGCGGAGGGATGCTGAGCATTTCTTGTAAACATGCGTACGCATCAGGATGGCGGCTGTGACGTTGGTGGCACACGATTTTAAGAGCCTGGCGCCCCTCCCCCCATATCCTTCTCCTACCCACGCCCCCGGCACTGAAACAATAATTCTTCCTATGTTTCTCCTGGACTGTGGCTTAGCCGTTAGAGATTTGGATTTGAATCAGTGCAGGGTAAGGGGGACATGGGCCTGTGTGCCGTGGGTGCAGCAATGCACACGCACTGTGCTATGGGGACAGGAGGCGGTCGGCCCCTTGGCTGGAATTCGCCAAAGGGCAGGTGCAGGGCCAGTTGTTACAGATGGACCAGGGCGGGTGGGGCCCTTGGAGCCCTGCGTGTGGGGGAAATCACTGGCCAGGTAAGGCCATGCTAAGCCTTTGCAGCTGCCGGGGGGCCTGTTGGCTGCTTGGCTGGGTCGGTATTAATGATGTCTTTCCATTTCTGTCTTCCACCCCAAATTCCTTCCCAGCCAAGCTCAGGCTTGGGGGAGTTTGTCTTAGGTTCAAGTGCTTCCCCATCTACTTAACAACAAATATCCATTATTATTTGTGAACCCTGATTTCACTGCTTCTAAATGCGTTTATCAGCTGGGAGGAGGCGTAGCCTTGTAAATAAAATGCGGTTTTGTTGTAAAAGAAAATTAACTCTGCGTGTGTGTGTGTGTGTGAGAGAGAGAGAGAGAGAGAAAATATGTATTTGTTCATGAGGTTTAGGATTTCATATTTCAGAACCCACCCCAACGTGATACTGTACATTTGAGCAAGTTGCCTGCTGCACCCATTCATTTTTCCTCTTAATGAGTCAAACATTTTAGCAATCCCTGTACTTTATACGGCTCATAATAGCGAGAGCAGCAATATTTTCCAGGGCCGCCTGACACTTGGGGAGCTTTTCACGAAAGCAGAAATCATCTCAGGGGAAAGACCTCATCTTTGCCTTCTTTATTTAAGGCTTGAGTTTGCCGGACAAGACAGCCTGAGGGGCTGGTTTGTTGGGTCTGGGAATTCAAAAAGCTGTTTTTATTATGTGTCTTTTCTCTTTCTTGGTGCTTTCTTATGTCTGGGTGGCAGTTTGGGCCGCTCCGGTTCTTCCCGCAGAGGCCTGGTTCTCCGAGCCGTGTGGGGCCGTGGGGCCCCGCATGCCCATAGGACAGGGAAAGGAGGATCCTGAGGGGGCCAGGCACAGCCCACTTTGCCCTTCTCTGAGCTGGGCCAGGTGGCTCTTTCTCCTTTTATTTCTTCCATTATCGATACAGTTCTAAGAAGGGCCGCGCACACGCGCACACACGCACACACGCACCCCACACACCCAGCTCAGTATCCGCCTGCCAGCGGAAATGAAACCACAGCCCGTCTTTGGGGGTGTCTCCGAAGGCCGTGAGCATGAGCCTCCAGGCTCAGCAAGCTGTCTCGGTCCACCCGCTGTGACCCAAAACTTGACAGTTGAGGGGTTCATGCTGCCTCTGCTGCCTGAACTTTGGGGGTGACGTTCACACCTTCTTGAGTGAAGTATCTCACTCACTAGATGAAGCCCAGAGCCCCACGGGCCCCCCCCCCCCGCCGGGGGAGGGGAGAGAGGAAACCCCATTCTTGGAGTAGGGTGAACACCCGCTGTCACCTTGAGTTTTACTTTCAACGCTGACAGTGGGAGGGAAGATTTGTTTGTTTGTTTCTTTTGCCCCTGGACTCCCTTGGAGGCAGCGAGCTAGGTCCTGGGTCCTGGGTCCAGGAGGTGGGGTTCAGAGCTGTCTGTGGGCCTGGGGCAGGGCCTGGCCCCCTAGGGGGGCTTGGCTGCCAGGGGGCCGAGGCAGGAATCCCCACTGCAGCACAGTGAACGGTTTCGGATACTTTCCAACTCAGTGACGGGGGCTCACAGGGCCTGCTGCAGGAGGAAAGTGAAAAGGCCGAGAGAGCCAAATAAAGGAAAGAATACCAGATGTTACCAAGAAAAAAAAAACAAAAAACGGAGAGAAGAAAAAAAAAGTGCTGGTACCAAGTCCTCAGCAAAAGATGGAAGGCAGAGAGGCAGGAATGCCTGCGAACAGGCTTACGTGACCTTTGCTAATTTTTAAAGTAGTCTGTGTTTCTCTTGAATGAGAAGGATGAATTGAAATTACGTAGCTTACAGCCTCCTAACAGAGAGGAGGTCTGCGTGCTTCCTAGAACTCCTCCCCGGAGAGCGGACAGGCAGGGCTGAAAAAGTTAATGAGAAGCAAAACAAAACAAGGACAAGAAAGATTAAATTATTAAGCGGCAGGAAACACCTCCCCGTGCTTCAGCGAGGACGGTCACGCTTGGAAGTGGGGCCGTCTTGGTGACACAGCGGAGTGCCCGGCCTGTGGGCAAGTGGCAGTTGAGACAGGACCAGGTACCGCCGCCCTTCTCACCACCGAGCTTGCCCCTGCTCCTTCTGAATTCTCTGTTTCATTTTGTCTTTTTTTGCTTTTCAGCTCATTTCCTTTGTGCCTCTCTCCTTTTTTTTTTTTTTTAACAAAACAATATTTTGACATCCTCCTCCCATTTATTAAGAGTTCCCTCTCTAGAAATGGCGCACAATACATCCTTATATTTCTAAAGAACTGTTTTCACAGCCCTCTCCTTTGGCTCTGAAATTATGTATATGTAATTGGTAATTAAAGGTGCAAGCTTTTCAATATAAACAGTATTGCTCAATGTTAGATCATTAAAAGGAAAAGAAGCACCGAATAATTACCTTTTCCATTCTGACAAATAGTTCACAGGAATCCGGTCCCCCCTACAACCACTGTTCAGCATGAGGGTTGTGATTACATTTGAACCATACCAAAGCATCTTTTCATAAAATAAATTGGTAAATTAATTATGTAGCATTGTCTTCCACCTCTTTTTAAAATAAAGTCCCGATTTCTTTTTTAAAGTGTAATTAATGGTTCCTGGGGCTGGCTTGGTGAAAACCATTTCTCTTACCTTATAGGTTTTTGGGGGTTTTTTTTGGTGTGTGTGTGTTAGAGGTATGGAGACAACAGATTTAGGATTTCCTCATCTTCGGGGTGTTTTTGTACTGACACGGATCTCATGAATGTCCAAGTGTAATTCATGGAGGACTCTGTCTGCTTGTCTCTAGCCACAAGCAGGATCTCAAATGCTAACTTTCCTTCCCAGCCACACTTGACCTGTTCACATGTGGCTCATACGTGTCACCTGTCCTACAATGGCCATCCTAGATTCAGCATCACACATGGATTCCCACGGGCCCTGAAGAAGCTGTGTTCACAAAATACAGGACAGGGATTCATATGTAAGATAGAAGATGCCACAGAATTTTTTCCTTAAATTATCTGTTCTTTGGCTCTGGCCCGTCAGTAACTTCACTGCCCCGGAATGTGTTTTCCCTCCCATCCATCCCTTCTCTCCGTTCCTCTGTGGTTTTCATTATATCTCACTAAATACCGTACAACTTAAAATTTACCTGCCTCCTCGGTTGTCAGACCCTTGGCTTTTCCCAGCACCCCAACCCTCGTGCTGGCCCTACGACCACATTGTTTGCTCTTGAAAAATTCCAACCCAAGTTTGCTCAGAGCCCGAGGAGATGTGCAACCTAATTGTCCACTCCCCTTATTTATGACATTTTCGGCGGCCGAGTCTTCCCGTTCTCCCCCTGGGGGTTGCTGCTGTTGGAGGCATTTACTGGCTTCAAAATATTTGGGTCCCTTGTCCCCTCCAAAATAAAAAAAAAAGGAAGTATATCGGCTGCTAAAGAAATATGAAAACGTACAGCCCACTGAAAGTGTGGTTTGTTGTCTGCCAAGAAATGCTTTTGGAGTCTGAAGAGTTTTTTTTTTTTTTTTTTTTCTCCTTTTCTTTTTCTGGGAGTGAAAAATAAAACCAACAAACAGAAAGGACATTGGGAAGCTGATGAGTGCCCGGAAATCTACAAAGTGATGGCGGTCTGACCAGGAGCAGGGTGTCTGGCAGGAGAGTGGCTCCCTCTTTCAGGGAACAGACTAACAGCGTCCCTTCCCCTGCCCTGCATTGTTGTTGTTGGTGGTGGTGGTTTTTTTTTTCTTCAGTATTTCTTTTTGAACCGACACTCACTTGTTGCTTTCTGAGCATGTGGGCTTCTTTCTTTCTCTCCTAAGGCCTGGCTGCCTGACGCCCGTCTGAGGCTCTACTTTCTTGTCTGGTGTGCAGCCAGGTCTGAGGTAGAGGAATGTAAGCAGGGCTCCCATGAATGGGGAGGACATGAATGAACCGTGGAAGGGAGGGGGTGGCCGATCGAGCCCAAGCAGGGTGAACCGACTCTGGCGCACGGTTCTCAGCCTTGGCTGCCCACTGGAATCACCTGGGGAGTCTTAAAAACAAAAAGACAATCTGAGGTTTGGATCTGGCTGTAATTGGTGTGGGGTGCCGCCTGGGCACAGGGGGTTCGGGGCTCCCCAAGTGGTTCTCGGATGATGTAAAGTGGGAGAGACACGTGTCGAGCTTGACGAATGGGGGCCCGTGACACTGAGCCTCTTGTGAAAGCAGGACGGGTGTTATGTACACGTGGATGTGTTTACATGCTATGTTGGGGGGTGGGAATCACCAGTAAATAAAGGACAAAGCAGTAAGTTTAGCATCAGTTAAGCAACCACCTCCACGGGCTGCGACGTTGCTTCCGGAGCCTCAGTTTGCCCATCTGTGGCCTCCGGGAGCCATGCGGGGACTTGGTGACCTCTAGTATCCTGCAGCGGAGGGGCCTCCTCTTGGTGGGGAAGGGTTGGAATGGCCGCTGGGTGTCCGAGATTGCCTAAGCCCATCTCTGTCTTCTCTGCCCCCTTCTCCTCTCTCTCTCCAGCAGAGGCTGACCATGTGGAGGCCGCCATCCTCGAAGAAGACGAGGGTCTGGAGATAGAGGAGCCCAGCAGCCTGGGGCTGATGGTGGGTGGCCCCGACCCTGACCTGCTCACCTGTGGACAGTGTCAGATGAACTTCCCCCTGGGGGACATCCTGGTTTTTATAGAGCACAAGAAGAAGCAGTGTGGCGGCAGCCTGGGTGCTTGCTATGACAAAGGCCTGGACAAGGGCAGCCCGCCGCCCTCCTCGCGCTCCGAGCTCAGGAAAGTGTCCGAGCCGGTGGAGATCGGGATCCAGGTCACCCCCGATGAAGATGACCACCTGCTCTCGCCCACGAAAGGCATCTGCCCCAAGCAGGAGAACATTGCAGGTATGGAATGTTGCCACTGGCCAGGTCGCCGCTGAAGCCACCTCCTGGGTCCCACGCCCGCCTGTCCCCTCTTTGTGCTGGGTGTCGGTGCTGGGAGGGCCCAGGGGCTACCGGGATAGGACCACCAGCCAGGGCTCGCCCTTTCCGAGGGGCCACTGTCTGGGTGACCCTCAGGAGGAGACAGGCCTGGGGCTCAGAGAGGCACAGCTGGCCGATAGTTGCTTCGCTTTTGGCAATGAGACTCTGTTGTGGGGCCTAATCCATAGGTGGCCGGGAGTACAGAACAGAAATTTGGAAGGCTAGGGTGGCCCTCGGTTTGCTGGTGTTCTTGGCTTAGTCTCTGGCTGTGCAGCCAGACTGTCTTGGGTTGGAATCTGTTCTTCACAACATGGACAAGTCCGTTTTTCCATTTGTGAAATGGAGCTAATGAGACCGATCTCCATAGGGCTGTGGTGAGGTCTAATGAGACGTGGCCTGTAGGCAGGGTCCGGTAGGCACTTAGGAATGGGAGCACTCATTTCTTCTTCCTCCTCTCTCTGGCCTCCATTTCCCATCTGTAAAAAGAGGTGTCCTGATCTCAGAGGCCCCTTCTGCTGTTGCCCGATCCTTCTGGCAGGTCTAGAGAAGGGCTTGCGGGAATTTGCTGGAGCACTGTTTCCCTTTCAGCTGACCGCCTGGACAGCTGACTTTTACCACCTGAAGAACAGGTGTTGGGTTGTGTCCTCTGGCCACAGGGAGGTGGCACCATGTCCCGCCGGGCTGTGGTCACGGAATGCCAGAGCCTCCTCCAGGGAGCCCGAGCTCTGTGCAAGCCACAGTGTTTGCTTCTGGTCCTACTTCTGAGCCTGGGAGGCCCGGCCAAGACAGAGGGCCGGGGTGGCCTGTGTTCCCGCAGTGAGCGGCAGCCAGTCCTGCAGCAAGATGGCACCCGTGTGCGTGCAGATGAGGGGTCACATCCTGCCGGTTGGCTCTGGACAAGCTGCTTCATGAGTCCAGGCCTCGGTTTCCTTATGTGTCAACAGCGAGTGAGAATACTGGCAGGCCTGGTGTGCGGCTTGAATGAGCAGGGGCTCCGTAAGTGCTTTGCCGGTGGGGATTTCCTCTCAGGGTCCCCTCTGGTTCTGCAATCTGCAAGTAGGTGTCAGCTGTGTTTTGGGCGTGGAAGCTAGTGGAGGTGCTGGAGGGACTGAGGCTCTGGGTGCTCCTCCTTGGAGGGGGTGAGCCTGGTGTAGCCCAAGGCACCTGTTCCCACGGGTAAGATCCATCCAGAGAGCCCCATCACCCAGAAGGCAGTCAGGGTAACGCAGCAAAGCCACTCGGCACCTCTGAGACTTCCGGGCCTCAATTTGCCCATCTGTCAAATGGGATTAATGAGGTCTCTCTTGGGAAGAGACTGTGGTGGGATGCAGACTCCTGCTGGCACACGCTAGGTGCTGGGGAGACCCCATCAAGTCATACTGGCCTGTGGGCCTTGCCTTCTGGCTGCTGAGCTAGAGTGACATCTTGCACGCTCTCAAGTTGCCAAGGGCTTTGAGAAAAATGCCCAGCGTGTTCAGGGCCATGGTCAGGTAAACCCCGGCTTCTCAGAGTTCCCTGCAGATGTGAGCGATGCTGCCTTCGTTAGGGCTGGAGCCTCCCGTCCAGAAAGGAGCTGGGTCCCTTTTGTTGGTGTTGTTGGGGTCCCCATGCCTTTCTTTTCTTTGACACTGGAGGAACAGTTTTCCTCCAGTAGAATAAACACCCGGCGTCAGTGACCACAGACCTTGCCCACGAGACTCTGGTCCCTACTTATATTTCCATGGAAAGGCATTCTGCTTTCACCAAAAACCATCCGAATCCTCATTTCACGATGAAGGTATTTCCCAGCGAGAGGCTGCCGATCATTGTGGGTAGGTTTGTTTAAGAAAGCGACTAGATGTGATTTCATAAAAGGCAAAGTTAATCTTCAAGGCGGCTTTGTCCTCACCCCCCCCACACCCCCCCGTGCCCCTTTTTCTCGGGTTGTAATACTGCAGCAGCCTACGGTATTTTTATTTTATGTGTGATGGAAGATATTCTTGGCCTTTTCTGTTCAGCAATAGGACAAATGCATTTCTTCATTCTCGGAGAAATATGTAAAATAATCCCTTAGAAGTCTAAAGAGATATGTTTGTTCAAAGCATTTAAAATGTTATTTTAATCAAAGGCACAAAACAGTCTCCATGCTGTGTCAGCTGAAGACGACCGTCCCGTTCTAGCGGCACGATGTGCCTTCTTGCTGGCCCTCCTTCCGCTTCTCCCCTCCCTGCCTTGGCACCAACTTTTCTTTCTTTCCTTCTTTTTTTTTATTTAATAAAAAAAGGAAAGATTAAAGAATAAAACTTCAGTGGCTCAAATGTATAAAGTAATTTAATATGGTGGGAGCATTAATTATTTTAGCTTAATTGAATTCTGAGGACTGCAGTACTTGCATTTTTGTAGACAAGCCCTGTTTATTATTTCTCTGTGTAGATTAACAGTAAAGGAAACACAGATAACTTTCAGTTATTTATTGTAAAATAAATGTGTCAATTCATGTGTAAAGCAAGCTGCTCAAAGATAATTGAGTCTTTATATTTTAAGAGGGGGGCCAGGAATCACAGGCGCTTCTCCCCCCGGGCTTCCGGAAATCCGCACAGCTGCTGCCCAGGCCCCTGGCACCGCTGGCCTCGCCCAGGCCTCTCCTGTTCCTGCTCCCCACCCGAGGTGGGGAGGGATGCTCCAGCCTGTCCGAGCCCCACTGTTGTCCCCAGGGCCGGTTACTGGGGAGCAGGCGGCTGTTAACTCTTGGGGCTTGGCCTCTGGTTTGGCTGTCCCAAGGGAGGTGCCTGCGGTGACCATGTGGCTCATGCCTTTTGGGGAACCAACAATCTGAGCCTTGTCCAGACGGGTCCCAGCCCTCCTCGCTGCCCAGTGCTTCTAGAGGCTGGGCTGCAGAGATGGATGGGCAGGGCTGGCCTGTGGAATAGGTGGGATCCCTTCCACCTCCCAAGGGCGCCCCCAGGGTGACATCGGAATTGGAATTCTGTCAGTCATTGGACCAGGGCTGGACCCTGGATCGGCCCTTTCCTTGGGACACTGGGGTCTGGAGATGGGCATAAAAGGAGTAGTTAATCATTTTTTTTCTTTCCTTTGTTATTATTATTTTTTTTAATGATAGAGAAGTAGGAGAGTAGAAGGAGGAACTTTCTGGAGCTTTGTATCTTGGAGGGCATTCGTTCATTCATTCGTTTGTTCATTTAATAAACAAGCACCTATTGCTCTTCCCCGGCTCTGAGCATCCCCCTGGCTGCGAGGTGACAGAACCCCTCAGGGTGGGGGGAGCATGGTAGGAGGACGGCCATCTGGGCTGCTGCTCTTTCCCCCTTGGGGGACATGGCCCAGGTGTGAGCAGTAGCGGCGCTGCCCTTGATGTGTGCGGTTGTGGCCCGGGGCCCTGCGCCTTGGCTGTGTGCTGTGGGCAGAGCAGGGCCATGGAGCCTGTGTCTGAGGCCCATCTGGGGACAGAGGGGTGGAGTTGAGCCGAGGTGGGGGCTCAGGTCTGCCTATATAGGAGTTCTTTACCTTTCCTAAGCCCCCTTCCCACTGCATTCTCCCACTTCTGGCAGAGCTGGGGGAGATGGGTTCCAGGGTTTGCCAAGAGCAGGAGTCTCTGAGCATTATGTGGGATGGGTGTCTTAAGGAGGGGTGGGGAGAAGGGGGCTGGGGGTGTTTGGGGTTCGAGGCCCGTGCCAGGGAGGCCGCGTGCTGCCACGTGGGAATGGACCCAGCGCACGTCTTAGCCCTACCCTGCCTCCTGCCAGCCTTGGGCCATGTGACCTGACCTCCTGAGCGGCAGTAGCCTCGTACGGGGAGCGCATCTAACAGTAACTGTGGTATTTAAGGGCTGCGTGCCTGCCTGGTGCACGGCGTGCCTGCTGCAGGAATGAGCGCCTTCCTCCCTTACTGGTGCCGTTTCCCCAGCTCCACTTCCTGCTGGTGGTGTAGCCAATGTAGGTCCTTCCAGGAACTGGGGGAGAAACTTCCATTGGCTTCGGGGAACTCCACCATCAGAAACAACGTCAGAACCACTGCCGTGTGTCCCCCTCCCCCCAGCCATGTTTGGTCACGTTGTTACTGTCCTTTGGTGGCCGCTCTGATGGTGGGTCCCTCTGGGGAGGAGCCGAGGGGGATCAAAGGAGCATGCGCTTTGGTGTCAGTGGGGAGGGGTGCAGTTCCAGGGCCCGCCCAGGCCAGCCACTTCACTTTTGTGGGCCTCAGTTTCCTCGTCTGTCCCCACTTGTCAGTCCTATGGCAAGAATGAACGGCGACGAGAGCCAGAGAGTACCCACCTAGCTCTGTCCGGCTGCAGCCAGATGCCTGAGAAGTGGAAGCTTCTTGAATAGCTTTTAAGAGGGTGTGGACCCTGCTTGGCAGCACGAGGTGTTGGCTTCTCAGTCAGAATCTTGAAAATTTCCCTCGGGTATCTCTCTCAGCATTTCCCCTGATTCCTCCTTAGAATCCCCATTTTATAGCCACTGGAGGGAAGGTTCTTGATCACAGGTAATTCGTTTTCGCGTGTTATCACCCCTTCCATAAGCAGATGAAGCTATAACCGGAGGAATGAGCCATCAGCTGTCAGTCAAAGGTTTGCCTTTTTGTCCTCCCCCCCAAACCCCAAATGTCAGATTTCTGGAGAAATGCAGGAGACAGGCAGCGGGTGACAGGAGGTGGCAGATCCCCCTGGGCTGGAAGTGGCAGGCAGTTCCCTGCTGCGATGGCCCCACCCGCTCTGTATGTCTTCATCTGGAACCGAGGAAGGGTCCGGGGTGTGCCTGGAGGCGGGGGGTTCGCATAACAGCAGAGCACAGACGGGGGCTTGGTTTGGGGTCCCAGTGACCCATCGCTAGGCAAATGGTGTTGGAGAAAAGGGCTTCTGATCAGCTGGAGGATTTACATGCTGCTCGGCAAATGTGCATTTCAGACTTTAAAAAATAAATAAA